ATATACACTGGTTGTATCGACATTTATCTCCATTTCGACACTTGGGTTTGTGTTTACATTGCATTTTGTTTCGATATTCCCATTCTCTTTGACATGCCCATTTGTCCCGGCATTGTGGCTTGTGTTGACAATTCCATTCTCGACATACCCAATTGCCATATACTTTGTATTTATCGTTTTTGATTAGGTGATTAAGAGCTACAGTAATCTATGAGAATAAAATAGTAACAGAATGTCAGAAATTATATTGCATTCAAATATCTTGCATTTAACATACATTTGACTCTGGTAGTATTTCCTGCTTGTACAGACTGATCTTCGAAACCAGATGTTCCTTATTATTATTGCAACTCCAACATTTCTTTTTAAAACGATCTGGATGCTTTAAAAAGTTACTGAATACCTTCGGGTCATATATACTTTCCCATTTTTTTTTGCATTCACATAACCAAATGCAGTACCCTCTGAATTCATTATTTCGGGTTAGGTTCTTTAGGTGAAGGAGATTTTTGGAAAACTGTGAAAAAAAAAATTATTGTTAGCAAAATACAAAAAAAACCTTTTAAAAAAAAAAATAAAGACAAAAAATTTATTTGGCCAACGTTTTTTTTATTTATCACCAAATTTTCTTTTGCCTGTAGTTTTGTGGTTTCCCTCTCCAAGGGATTCTATTAAATAATCGAGATGTTATCAATTAACCATATTTGCAATTATTTCCCCTGCATATATACAATAAATATACTAATACTCATACTGTTTTCACTTCTGGTATTTCCGTAGTAGTAGATATATTATCCTTCATGTGGACTAGATATGTAAATAAAATAGAGATGTGTCTCAACAAATTTTTTAAATTGTAGAGTAATATATAGTATATAAGGACCATTATGTGACGTTTTGGGATGATCGTGTAACCCAAATAACACAACCCATTGAGACTAGTATTAATATGGTCCATTGCCGTCAATAAAAATACTAAATATGGTTAAGTTACACAAATGGACGAGATCCATTCATTCATTAAGGAATAATCTCTGTTTTGAAGTGAAAACGTAATACTATTTTTGAATAATCGTAGCTTTACTTAGAAAGTTCCTTCAATATTCTCATTAGGTTTCACTAAACTTTATTCATGGAGTTTAATAACCGTTTGTTACACGAATTCGTATGTAAATAATAAAGGCTCTCGTTTTCAATACATTTTGGAATAATCGTAACGCTTGAAACATTCATAATACTTAAAATCGTTTTTTTTTAAAAAAATTCTTTAGTGATAATAATAATATCATAATATATATATATTGACAATGAAGAGATAAATTCGAATCTTTTATTGTAAAAAATATAAAAAGCGCGGAGAACCTAAAGATAGTTTTATATTAGAACAACTTTAATGAAGATGAAGATGAGAAATATCAGATTTATCAAATAAAATTAGCAATTTCTATAGAAAATCCAGAGGGTATATGTAATTAAAAAAATATGCAAACACAAACCCAAGTGTCGAAATGGAGATAAATGTCGATACAACCAGTGTATATGTCCAAACTCTTGGTGGCGACCTCGACATGCAGAGTATTGTCAAGAAGCATGGGTAACTCAAAACAACTGGAATTGTAAACATTTGAAAAAATGTAATGATCGACAGAATTGCCAGCACGAGACAAAATCCAAAGATGATGAATGGGTTTGTCAACACGAGATAAAAAAAAAATCGGTTAGTCTATACAAATGTGAAAGCGAATGGGATTGTCGACATAAATGTCAAAGCGAAAGGGAATGTCAACATGATTGGCAATGTCAACATGAATGGAAAAGTGCTGAATTTACTCGGAAGAAGTTACGCGAATATCTAAAAAAAACACCAGAAGAATTGGCCGATTTTTTCAAGCAGCCTTGCAAGAAATGTGGCAACAAGAGTTCGATTTCTAGTTTTCTTCTGTATAAGCAACAGCCAAAAAGTTTAAATGTAGGTTAAATTTATTGCTTTTCAAAATACCTTGTATTTTACTTAAAATTTTATCTCAATAGGAAAAACCTGACCTTGAGATCGTCTGTCATCTAGTATGGAACAATCTTTACAGAGTGTTCGGCGATTGGGAGTGCGATAGTATCTTTTCACATAGGTGGGGAAGTGCTTATACTTGGATATTACTTCAAAGGTTTATAGAAGAAGTTCCAGGTAGTGATTTTTATGTGGTGGAAACGTGCAAAGTAAACTACTGCCATGGATCAACCGGTATTATGAAAGGATTCAAACCTCTAACATCATCAGGTGGTAAAACATTTCCTCATAAACGAGATTTATGTCAAAAATGTCTGCGCTTTGAAAATTGTGTTCAAACTGGCACCTACTTTGGTTATCAGAAGAAATCGTAATGGTTAAATGAGCCGATGAATTTCTCGTATTACTAAATTTCTTGTTTTCATTTAAATATTTATTTACTAGCATGTATTTTATTAATTGTGTTATTATCTATTTTATCTATTATCATTAATTTTAAATGATAGGAGGATCATATAAACATTCCTCCATAAACCGTCACTGTATATATAAATAATCTCGAATATGTAATAAGGATGGATAGAAGGTATTACAGATTAATTAATTATATCAGGTCATTTATTAAAGGAATCAATAAAAATGATCAGTCATGTTTAATAACTTAACCTTGGAATTGCTTTGTTCATTCTTTCAGATTGCCATTCTACATTACCAACATAAGATGCATGATATTTACAATTACAATCTGACAAAAATTCAGAGGTTATTAAAAAATATCTAAAACAAATACAAATAAAAGACAACGATGATTATTTTTTAATAATAATAGTAAACAGTTAATAATAATAATGGCACATACTGTGATTGACATGCAGTTTCAATCATTTGATTATGAGCTAAGCATTCATTTAT